AGTATAGTAAATAATTTTAATATAGAAAATAGATAGTAGAAAAGTTAGTATAAAAATACTTGTTCAAAATACCTTTATATAAAACTGGTGGATGATTACAATAGGGACACAAACCAAAATCTTTCTCTTTTATGTATTCATTACAATGACAACCTGCTTTGAGATATATATATTTTTTTTTATTTATTTATTTATTTGCCAAAATATGTGCAAGGTAAATTTATATTGAATATATTACCGGCAGGACTTCTAGAAGACCACAGGATCTCTTCACGAAGCCTTTTACAATCTATATAACAAAAAAGAATACAATATTCTAATAGTCTTCACTCTCTATATAATAAACAAAGTAAAGTATAAATTAAAAAAAAAAAAAAAAACAACTAAAGTACTAAAAATAGATATAAATATTTTGTGTTGAAAAGATAATTTCTTTTACTTTCCGTTTAAAAGAAGAATAAGACCATTTCAAAGAAAAATCAAAATTAGGTAAAACTATTTTATTCCAAAAAGAAGGACCACTATAAGAAATACAATAAATGCATTCTACTTCTCCCTTTTTTATTCTCCATTTTTAATGACACTGTAAAAATAAAGAAAAATAAAGTAACAGAAAAACAATTTTTATTACCTAAGATTTTTATTACATTATATCAGTTATATAAACTTATTTAGAAAAAATAAAACTAAATGACTAAAGAAATATATCAATTTTAAAGTTATAGTAAAATTTATAGTTTACTTTATTTTTATATAGTTTACTTATACGCTGTAGTATATTTATCTTTAATATAATTATTTTGTAGGCTATATATATTACAATATAAAATGTACAAATAAATAGTAAATGAAAACTAGTCAATTATTTAATGTACCGTAAGATTAAGTGGCTTTGGTCCTACTAGTATGACTTTAGCCCAAGCGAAATTTTTGTTTAAAAATGGTTTACAATCGATACCTCAAGGTATGCCGGTTGATGTTTTGTGGTAAAATGTGGGAAATTTATTATTTACTTAGTCTAACTTTGTTTACTTAACTCGAGTATTTGTGATATTACAGTAAATTGCACTTTAGAAGAAGTACCTAAAATCCGAATTTTTTTAGGTGTATAAACTTTTACATCGATAGCATTACCTGGAGAAAAGTTTTTACTGGAATATGCACTGAATTAATTTTAAACCATTAGTGTTTGATTCTATCTTGTTTTGAAAGCTTTACAGTTTATTACTTTTTTGTAATTGAGGTTAAAAAAAATTGGTTGTTTTTGGCCCACTACATAGGGTGATATTGGCCCAGACTAAAGTCACCCCAAGTATTAGAGAAAACCTTTTTTATTGATCATTTATAGATATTATTGTAGTTTCTATATTGCAATGATAAATTTTGCCGTAGTAATGCAATAGAAAATCAGTATAACAGTTTTTATTACTAAATCAGTATAAAAGTATAGTGAAATTTGTTTAGTTCTTAGTTTAAATATGAAACAAAATTACAAGCCAAATCGTGGAAGAAGAAAATATGTTAATTATACTTTAGAACAGTTAGACAATGCATTAAAAGATTTAAAGAATGGTTTAATTACTCAAGGACAAGCAGGTTTGAAATACGATATTATAAGACCAACATTAAAAAATAAAAGAAAACAGACATATCCTAAAAAGTATGATGGTCAGCAAATATTTACATCAAAAGAAGAAGACATGTTTAAGGCATATGCGATAAAATCATCTGAGTCTGGTTTTCCTGATAATGTATCTTCACATTTGAGCATTGCAGTACTGGATGCATGTCAAAGCAATAACATAGGATTTGTAGCATTACCAGCAAACTCTACACATCTCACGCAGCCATTAAATCTTGCCTACTTTAGACCTATGAAGAATGGAAGGAGAGAGGAAAAGAAAGGAGAGTTGCCTCTCTTCCTAACGATGAATTTCTTAGACTTTTATACCGTTTAATTACCAACTTAAATGAACATGGGAATGATAACCTTAGAGCTGGTTTTCGCAAAACTGGAATTTTTCCATTCGACAAGTCTCAAGTGCTTTAACAACTACCATGTTATAATGTAGGTTTAGACTCAACTACTGATACTCTTTATTAGCTAACATTTGCCAACTGCCAACTATAAATCCAATTTTGCCGACTCCAGTATCCAATATGCCTACTAGTAAATTTAGTTAGGGAACTAGACACCCATCTAAGCCCCCTTTCCTCGGAACGGCCCTGCTACTAAATGTAGCATTTAATAACATCTTTTTTGTTTTGCATTCTAAAAATATTTTTCAACGATATTAAAATTGGGCTGTTCAATTATTTTCGAAAACTTTGAAAGTTTTTGCCGTGTTTTGTTGCTTACTGCTCAGTTTACAATCTGTAATAAAAAATAATTATTAATTAATAGCCATTTATTAGTGGTAATTTGCTAGTGGAAAATAATGGTAATCTGAAAAACCAGCTGTTAAAATATTTGTTAATCCCGTATATGCATGCGTATAAGTTGAGAAAGTTGCATCAAATTTTAAAGTCAAAATTGCCACAGGGCATTTCCATTTCTGTGTGTGATTTTTGTTTTTACAATTAGAAGCCTGGGACTTGAAGCAATATACATACTATTATGATTTCTTAAAGAATAATAATATTTTAGGATACCTGAATGTTTAAATAAGTATATTTTTATCATTTTATATATTTTTTTTGTGTTAATGTCGCAATAGTTTAAAAAATATAAAATGATTTTCTCATTGAAA